AAAACATCTTTTACTAATTCATCATAAATGGGGCTTACAAAAGTTTAGTTTATTTAGATATTTAATAAAAATAAAAACAAAGTATTTAAATAATTTTGATGTTTGTATTCTATTTAAAGCAAAAAATAATTCTTTTAAAGATAAAATTTTGTATTTAAGTTAATATAGTCGAATTGATTGATACTAATAGTCGATATCGTATAGAATAATATATATTGATAGATATAGAAAATAATTTTAAACTATGTGTTCTAGTTATAAAGCGCGTGTAATTTATATTATTTTTTAAATAAACAATTACAGAATTTTGATTATTACCTTGAATGTTTATATTATACAAACTAAATTACTACTAGCAATAATTACATTTAAAATAAATTATTTTCTGTTTATATTTTTTAAAAACCACACATGGTTACTTTAAAAATTTATAAAATTAAATAACTTATTTATTTCATTGTAGCATTGCTAATAGTTTATAAGAACTGTATACAAACAATTTCCCTTTAATCAATATCAAATAATGATAATACATTGTGAAAAATTTATATTGTATCAATATGCATCACCTTATTATAATTTTTACGCTTGCCTCTACAGCAATCTATAAGCTGATAAAATTAATTGGTTAATATTTTAATAATTTATATAAGAAAAAATTAAAATATTTCTTACATAAATTATTTTATATCTTGTCTAATAAAAATTCTGTTACATGTTTTAGATTAAATAATTTTACATAAGACAAAATTAATTTTGGGGTTGGATCTTGTTTTGGTTCCTCCCAGACTCTTTCATCGGGTGACACATCCATCTTCCTCGTGATGCATTCTTTTCACATTTTAGCTTTAAAAAAAAAACTGAGAGCAAAGCCAATCTTTCTCTTACGAAAAACAAAAGTTATAAAAGTTTTAGTGTTTTATAACAAACGTACAGTACTTAAATAGTTTTCAAAATGCAGTATGACACATCTATTAAAATTAATTTTATTTAAGAACAAATTCATATATTTACCGGGAAGAACCAATAATTCAAAAATGTACAGAATAATTTTTCTGTAAAATATAATAAGATATAACAGCATTATCAAAGTACAATGTTTTTTAAAATTATTTTCACACTTTTTAAATAACGTATAAACAATAAAAATGTTTCGCTATTTTTTATTAGTAAAATTCGTAAAATACTGTAAATTATTTCGTAGTTTTTAATATAATTTATTAATTCTTTGATTATCGAATGTAACTTAACACGTTTTTACAATTAAATTTGATAATTATGTCATTCATGTTTAAAAATTGGCAGTTTAAAAACTGAAATTTACATATAATACTTTTATTTTATATTTCTCGTATTTTACTGTTTCTTTTAATACGTTATACAACTACATTTTTATAGGCCTATTCTGAAAAATTAAGCTTTAATAATTAGTAATGATTTACAAAGCTCTTTCAATGTAAATCTTTAACGAAAAATAAAATTATATTCTGTCAGAATTCCTTAAAATACTTTTCATGTATTTTTCTCTCCTAATTATATAAATACAGTATATAACTGTTTAGATGTTTAGATACAGGCCTTTAAAATAATTTACTCGATATTATTGTTAATACAATTCCAAAACTAAAGAAAATAGAGTTTAATAAGCACATAAACGCAACTTCAATTTTTTTCAAGTAAAGAGGTTTATTTGATTCTAAAAAGCTTATAATCTTGCAGAATTTCAATTGAATTAGTTGTTGTTACAAACTCTTTCGCTCGAGGCCACGATCATTATCAGGGCAACTGATTACGGGTCTCAACTTCATTACTCAAACCTATTTTGCATGATCCCATTATCTTCTGATAATTATAGAGAACAACGTAGATTCAAGCTGCTCTTCAACAAAAAAATGAGATTCGTTACTCGAATATATTAAAAAGTTCTCAAGGTTTATTCAAAAACTATCATTTTCCCTCAAGCCTTTCAACAAGGGGAAAAAATTGAGCGAATATTTGTAGTATTTCCTTTCTATATCCCTGGCATATTT